AAACTCCATCAAGTTACTATTTAGTACATTATTTAGTGTCTCTACTTGCATACTGCTTTTGGCCAGAGGGATTCTGATTAGAAAGGAGCATAGAAACAAAGCTGTTTAATATTTACAAATAACCTTCTGGAATGCTAAAATCTTGGACTTTATCCCTTCCCTTCCCCCTCCCCTCAGATTCCCTCTGGAAGAGTTGAAGAAAGAGAGCGCAAGGAATTCTAGAACCAGAGGCAGAACCCGAAACTAACTGGGCCATGTCCTGCTTACGTGGCTGCGGGGAGAATCTTTCCATCGGGACCACCGTGGCTAAAAATGGTTATAAACTAAATTGACGGCTTTGCCATGAAAGTCGAAAGGAGCTCGCAGGAAGAGGAAGATTTGATTGTTTACCAGTGGATGTCAGGCAGGCCTCTCCAGTGTCAATGGGAATAGATAGGTTGTGACATTAAAAAAAAAAAAGACTTGGAGATCATGAAGAGAACCATCAGGGCCCAAGACCCACACTGCTTACATCTCTTGCCTTCTAAAGGCCAGGTCACTTTCATGTCAGAACTTAAGGATCAACAGAGAAAACTGTGGGCAAGGCAGCACAGAGGGTATGAACCCTAAGTTTCATTATTTATAAAAAGAGGGACAATATGACCTGTGTTATAGGGGATTAAACTTATCAGAGGATAAGTAAAATCTGAACCTAAAAACTCAGTAAGAGGCATTTACCTAAAAATTTTACGTAACATAAAACACAAAAAGACCAAATAGTTTACAGAGGGCAACATGAAAACTTGCCTGAGTACTACAATTGCCATTCACAGACTGCTGAACTGATACAGCTTCCATTCCTAGTATCTGTCTAATTCCACCTGTCTATTTGCTGTAGTAAGAAACAATTCTGCTTCCTAGTGGGGCAAAGTATTACTTCCTTGCTACTCACAAACCTCAGCATATCTGTCTTTCTAGAAAACTGCATTTTCTGAAGTGACAGTAATGGAAACTGAACCTTAGATCACGCTCACTATAGCACACTCAACAAATACTCTGGTATATATTTTATAAAACGGTAAAATGAATGGAAATGCCGTATCATTATGGTTTGTTTTAAGCAAAAACCTTAAGTTATCTTATTACTCAGAAATGTGATTTAACATAAGCCAAAAACCATTGTGGGGGTATGAGATAAACAGCAGAAAACCTTAATATTGACAATGAGAGTTAAATCTCACCCCAGATATCTCAGCAATTAAGAAAGTTGGTTTCAGTCAGGTATTGCCACATGTGTTTAGTGGAGGATTAAGTGACTGAATGTCACGCCTATAATATATATCTTTATGTAAGCTATGAATGTGTTTAAAAATAGACAAGGCCATGCTGTCAATCTGCGACATTACTGCCACATGTCTGCACACACACCCCACCCCCTTCAGAGATTCAAAAAAGGAGAAGCAGATTAAAAAGAAGTGTTTTGGGCTAGGCAAGGTGGCTCACGCCTGTAATCCCAGCACTTTGGGAGGCCGAGGAGGGCAGATCACCTGAGATCAGGAGTTTGAGACCAGCCTGGCCAACGTGGCAAAATCCCATCTCTACTAAAAATACAAAACTTAGCCGGGCATGGTGGCACAGGCCTGTGGTCCCAGCTACTCAGTAGGCTGAGGCAGGAGAATCTCATAAACCCAGGAGGTGGAGGTTGCAGTGAGAGGAGATCGTGCTACTGCATTCCAGCCTGGGAAGTAGAGACTCCATCTCAAAAAAAATAAAAAATAAATAAATAAAAATAAAAAAGAAGTGTTTTGAAGTCAAATCACATTTTACCTCCTACAAGGAAATGAAGTGACTTTCCGAAGTAATTTATAGACAGTAAGTAGCAGAGTCACTGGCTGCAAATCCAATTCTATTTCACCATGTGATTGCTTGCTTTCTCTGGGGAAGAAAGTACTGTTTTAACCACTATTATGTTGCCTTCGAATGGTATTTGGTGCGTTAGGCTTTTTAAGAGAAGCCCCTGCTGCTGCAACTTGTCTTTTTTCTTGTGAGGATCACTCTGTGTAAAGTTAGGTAATGGGATACTGCTGAATAAATACCTTGCAGCCAAGAGTTAGGGAGCATAGACACGCGGCTGCCGAGCAGTGGCCTTTAACTGATGAATGTAAAGCAAACATCAGGGAAAAAAGAAAGTAGAGGAATCCTGTGTGCTCAGGGACTTCCCTGAACGGGGTGCTGGCCTCCAGTTGGTGAGGACTTGAAATGGCTGAGGGACTCAGAGCTCTGAGCAGAGCCCTGTTCCCAAAGGATGACTCATTCTGAAAAAGATAAATAATCTAAAAGTTTGCCTATGTAGAACTTATTATGCAAAGATCAAAAGCATTCCCTATTTGACTTCTCTGAATGTGTATCATTCAAAGAGCACAAGTGTGAATACAAAGGTATTCTGACCCTAAGAAACACAGTCTTATAACTAAGAAGGTAAGAACAGTTGTGATTTGGTTAGGGAGGTACATAATTTGAAGGCAGGTATTCTATTTCTTTGCATTTTGCTATGTAATACAATTCTTTACATTTATCCAGGAAGCAGTTAAGCAAAAATATACAAGGTACCTATAAAAAGTTACGTTTTCATAGAATAATACTGCCAACGAGATCCTGTATGCTTTTACATTACAAATCTCAGTCATTTCACCCATCACTCCTGGTGATACCCCAGTGTTAAGGCTGTGAGCCAACACCTATGCCCTGATGTTTTGGGGCACAGGCTGACTGCCTTCAAGAAAATGAGAAGCCACTAAGGGTTAAGACCCTAACAAATCCAGCCCTATAGTGACAACTGGCATAACCCTCTTTGCATGTCCCCCATTCACCTCTGACATGAAACAAATCATGTGAATTAATGAGATCTGACAGAACAGCATTAAGAAAAATATGAAAATGTAAAAGAATTGTTCTATTGTTTGTGTTAACTAAAATCTGAATAGTTCATCATCTCTGGTTTGAATGGTGGACTTCTTTTTCTCCCCTGTGAATTTTAGTGCAGAAAATGTTAAGTTTCTTAACACAAAATTGTTTTGGACAAAGACAGAATTTTTAGATAGTTAGCTGCAACATTCTGGGAAGCTGACTAGAAAAGCACACCAGCCGAAAGATAAACACTGAAAAAGATTTGCATTTTTTTCTTTTGATGGCATCTCCTATCAGCAAATGTTGAGGTGCAGACAGCATGGCCTGGGAAAGGATGAGCCACGCCCGGCTGCCAGGAACACACACCTCACAGAAACTCACTACTTGAGAAGGCTGCTTTTCCGCCTTAGCTCCTGCTGGGCTGGCGCTACCAAGCACCAGCCAAAAGTACACAGTGTACCCAATCAGTAGCTTATTACGATGTGCCTGTTGTTTCACTTTTGCCTGGGTCTGGGACAGACCCTGAACTAGATGTCCTGTCCGACAGTACAGGCAGCTGAAGAGCTTGGTCTGCTGCCTGAGGTCCCGGTTCAATCCCTGGCTCTTCCACACACTGCCTTGTGACATAAGCAGAGGGCCTGACCTGTTTATTGTCTATAAAATGGGGATCGTAACTCCTGTCTCACAGGGTTACTAAGAAGAGTCAATCAACAGATACATGGAAATCCCTAACACCGTCCCCAGAGGTGGCAAAGTTCAATAAGGGCCAACAAGGACTAGCTGCAAATGACGGCTGCGTCAGCATGCACACTTCCTCACTCTTCACAAAGCTGAGGGAAGGAACGCAATCTCCAGAAAAGCAGGATGCTTGTCTAGGTGTCTTTCACTACTTCACCTCTGGCACACAGAGTCATGTCCGGCACATAATTAGCGCCTCACAAATGTTTGCTGAATACATGAATGGCTGAAGGCAAGAATCTGGAATTCTACTAAAAGGGACTATAGGCATTAGATTCAACAGTCTTAGGCAAGGAGACATTTAAGTCACACTGCTACCCAGACCCACTCAATTACTATAATAACAACAACACTTCTCCAATATTGAAAGTTATTTCCTATATGCACTTTTTCAGATAGCCAGAAAACTTTTCAGATAGTCAAGCTCAGCTGCAAATATAACACATCGATATACTGCAATTATCTAGTAACATTCATATCTTACTATATTTGTAAGAATGTTTCAATGTTCTTATATTTATATATGAAAAATCATGATGATCACTTCCATTTACAATTAAATTTTCAGTAAAAATACTCAAAAAAAATTACTGAGAAAATTACATAGAAAAAAATAATTGTGGTACCTTAAAGAGAATATTTAATTAAGTTATAATTTTTCAAAAGGTTAAAAAAAAAAAAAAAAGCTAACCCGATGCCTTGGAATTTCTTAGCTAAACTTTCAGAAAAAGAAATAAAGGAATAAAAAATAAATGAGTTCTTCAGGTTAAAAAAAATACTGTGACCTATTAAAATCTAAAGGAAAATTTTCTAAGAGTTTATGACAAATAAAAAATTTTTCTGTTAGAGTCTAAGTAACATTTTGAAAGCTAAAACCTGAATTTTTATCCTGGTACTTGAATAAATCATGGTAACTAAAAATTAATTTACTTAGGACACAGTGAGACAAATGCTTAGAACACAATGCACAGCTAAGATATTTCTTTTTCTTTTCTTTTTTTTTGAGACGGAGTTCTGCTCTTGTTGCCCAGGCTGGAGTGCAATGGCACGATCTTGGCTCACTGCAACCTCTGACTCCTGGGTTCAAGTGATTCTCCTGTCTCAGCCTCCGGAGTAGCTGGGATTACAGGCGTCTGTCACCACACCCAGCTATTTTTTGTATTTTTGGCAGAGACAGGGTTTCACCATGTTGGCCAGGCTGGTCTCAAACTCCTGACCTCAGGTGATCCACCCTTCTTGGGGCCTCCCAAAGTGCTGGGATTACAGGCGTGAACCACCACACCTGGCCTAAAACATTTTCTTTAAATGAAAAAAACATATGGAGAAAACATAAAACAGCTTTCACTATAGATGGTGCCATTTTGGTTTTGTTTTACCTTCAACCATGAGCATGGGCTCCCTGCCTCCACCGTGGGCCAGCATCTCCCTGCGATAGCGCTCTCCAGCGGCCCTGGGGAAGAGAGGAACTGTTAGAAACCTGCTTGCGCAGCCTCCATTCACACTGGTTTTGACTCACAAGACAAGTCCTGACTCACACTGACATCATATTCATAAAAGCTGCCACCATGTGACAATTCGGCCATTATTTTCTTGCTTCTAAAAATCAAATTCTGGCTTTTAAATTGTTCTAAAATAAATCAGGTGTGATATATTCCCTGTAAGAGGATAACTATACTTTTGGCTCTCTGTTTCGTTAACAAGAGACCTCACTTTATAAAAATAATTACTTTATGTATTAATCAATAGCTGTCCCCAGCCTTTTTGGCACCAGGGACTGGTTTTGTGAAAGACAGTTTTTCCACAGACCAGGGTTGATGGGGGAGGGATGGTTTCAGGATGATTTAAGAACATTCCATTTACGGTGCACTTTATTACCACATTATACATTGGAATATATAGTGGAATAAGTATACAGCTCGCCATAATGTAGAATCAGTGGGAGCCCTGAGCTTGTTTTTCTACAACTAGATGGTACCATCCAGGGGTGATGGGAGACAGTGACAGATCATCAGGCCTTAGATTCTCATAAGGAGTGCCCATCCCAGATCCTTGTGAGGGAATCATAAGGATCATATGTGCAGTTCACAGTAGGGTTCCTGCGCCTATGAGAATCTAACGCCGCCACTGATCCAACAGGAGATGGCGCTCAGGCGGTAGAGTGATGGGGAGCGGCTGCCAATACAGATGATGCTTCACTCGCTCACCCACCCACCACACCTCCGGCTGTGTGGCCCAGTTCCCACTGCCAGTCTGTGGCCTGGGGATTGGGGACTCCTGTTATAGAATAAGTAAAATATTATATTTTATTCTCTATAAAAATAGTTTTAGGATTATTTTAAATGAGGCTTGAAATTATACCATTAAGAAATAATTTGTGATGGCACCTAATAAAGAAGAGAAAAAGAACATTCTAAAATAAGAGTGAAGGAAGAGAAGCCGGCAGGAAAAGGTTAATTACACCAGAAGGCCTTGGTTGAGGATAACAATTAACAGACCAGCAAGCTCCACTGGAGTGTGCTGGTGGTAAAGGCACAGTGGGGGCGCCCTGTTCCCGTCTTCTGGTACTCTGTGTCACCTGGATATGCCCACCTGACAGCCTTCCACAAGGAACACTGTTTATGACAACATGTGAAGGTAGGTTTGGAATAATTTCTGTAGACATAAATCCTCCAAACTAATGGGACCTGGAAACAAGTTATTTAGTACTACTCTTTTGTATTTTATGAAAAATGCAATTTCTTTAACACACATGATGACACACTATGATGAGGCAGGTGAAATAAATTTTGATATTGTTTCCATTTGAGAAGCTCTGGAGCCTCTCTACCTCTGGGTCATTTTGTGAACATGATCTTTAATCAGACTTTTTGATAGCATTACAGTATCAAAAACATGCTGACATCAAACACTAGCCCTGGGCACATCGTGAAGCGAGTGCTAAACAAAGCAGGAAGCCTGGACTGAGGTGGAGCCTCCCCTCAGGGCAGGGGTGGCTGAGGCGCCCTGCCTGACTCCTGGCCTGGGGTGCTCCGAGGCCCTTCTCAGCCATGGGATATAGCGCACTGACCCTAAATCCAATCCCTCCCCACAGACCTCCAGCTCCTGGCTTGCCTCAGCTCTGCAATGCTTGGCTTGCTGATGTAGGCTCCAGCCTGGTTATTTTTCAGGAGTGAGATCAAAAAGAAGACTTTGACAGAGATTAGAAATTTTCTAGTCCAGTGAGCATTTTTACTAGCTTACTTTAATATGCCCATAAAAGTATGGCAACTACATGTCTAGGCAAGAATGTACACATAAACAAGATATAAATATTTAGAAACATATATATTTTATAGTATGTGCTTTTCTAGTAAAGTGTACTTCAAACAAGATGATATTTTGCCTATTTTACAGAAATCTACAGTAAAACGTTATAATCCCTGAAACTGATTTACTGATGTCAAGTTTGGCTAAAGATCCTTTAAAAATAAAATCTGAAAAGCAGACCAAATGTCTACAGTCTGCAAAGGGCAGAAGACAAAATACATGTGAGTACCAAGCTGCAAAATATTTAAAAATTCTATGACATCACATTCAGGCTCAAATAATTTGAAACGAATGTGATTATTAACTGCTGAGAAAAATCCAAGTCTATGTCAAATTGTATGAAAGACAGACGGTGAGGCAGAGGTGGGAGGGAGAAGAAACCAGGAATGAGAAGACCTAGATTACAGTCTTAGTCCAGTTTTTAATGGTGAAGTCTGAACAAACTGTTTTCTCTGAGCCTCAGTTTTCTCTCATAGAAACTGCTGGTTTCTGCCAAGACTGCTGTGAATACTACGGGAAAACTCTAGGACACTCTAAAAACCAAGATAAAGCAGTAAAAATAACACTCATCAGCCAAAGCTCCCTGAAAAGAATTTGGAGATGTAGTTATTTGTGTGGTGAGAAGATAAATGCTATAAACAACTCTGACACCAGATTATAATTACTGGTTTTCTTTCAAAGAAAGCACCTTCTAAGGAATCACAGGACCCAAACTTGACAACCTCTTGGTTCCTATTGTTATAGGAAGTCCTGTTAGGAGGATCAGGAGGCCAAATCAGGGAGCAAAGAGAAGATCTCCTACATCTCTCCAGCCAGCATGGGATCCCTCGCATCCTTCACCCAGCACAGGACCCCCCACACCTCCCCAGACAGCACAGGATCCCCTACACTCCCCCAGACAGCACAGGATCCCCCACACCCCCCAGACAGCACGGGATCCCCCACATCCCCCAGCCACAGCACAGAATCCCTCGCACCCTCCAGGAAGCAAGGCATCTCCTGTACCTCTCCACCCGATGCAAGTGTAACCACTACCTGGCCTTTAGGAAGAGATTGGGAAAGCAGGACTACTGATCCTAGGCCCCCTACTTCCTCCCTACATGCCCCTAGCCTCTCCAGTGCCTTGTTCTCCCTCCATTCTGTGGAAAGGGGTGGGCGTCCCGTATCACGTGGTGAGGTCAGAAAAGCCAAGAAACCCCACGGGAGGCCCTCACACAACAGTTCCCTCAGGCCCCACAGGGCCACCTCCACACAGTGGCTGCAGGGCAGGGGCATGTCCAGGGTCACCATCAGCTGCAGGAAGCAGGAGCAAGCTTGGGTGAGAAGGGCCAAGCGGGATGCGGCTGTCTGCGGAGCTGCCACTTCCTGCCGCGCTTGGCTGTGATCTGTGGGCTGCGGCTCTCCGAGCCCAGCTTCAGATGTAATGGAGTGGGGAATGACTGCGGTCCGAGGTGGGCACAGTGTAGAACTTACCCCCTTCTCACCTGTTGAAAGGATCCTGCAGAAAGCACTCCTTCCACACCATGGAGGCGACCGCTCTGGACATGAGGTAAGAGTAATACTTAGCGCCATACCCCACGAGGTGGCTGAACCGCAGCTGCCAGGCCTGCCGAGAACAGAGACACAGCACGGGACACAAGTCAGCTTCCACTTGGAGAGTATCACATGTGACAACACAGTGGAGACACAGAGAGACCCGTCAATGTTTTCATTTGCATTTTACCCTAGAAGGCTGTGTCACCTATGATATCACTATTCTCACATTTTATACACTGTTATGGGCTGAAGTGTGTCTCCTCAAAATTCACATGTTGAAGCCCAAAGCCATACCTCAGAATGTGACTCATTAGGAGGCAGGGCCTCCAAAGAAGTGATTAAGTAAAAGTGAAGCTCTCAGACTGGGCCCTCGCCCAATGGCACTGGTGTCTTGGAAGAGGAGGAAAGCTGGATGCCAGGGTGTGGGCACCGAGGAAAGGTTGTCTCCAGGCCAATGGGGCCAAGGGAGAAGCCAGACCTGCTGACACCTTGGTCTGGACTTCCAGCCTCCAGAACAGTGGGAAGTAAATTTCTATTGTTTAAGCCACGTAGGCTCTGGTATTTTGTGAAGGCAGCCCTAGCACACTAAGACATACACAAAGAAAATTTTGTATCACATAAATATAATCATAGATAGGTGTATGTGTTTTGCTCCAAATATATGGTTAATCTTCTTCATTGAGTGAGTTTAATTACGCTGGTTAGAATACATTGTATTTCACATGACTATCTAGAAAAACAGTAAAGTCAGGAGTTTACTTATTTTTAGTAATTTAGGTAGTTCAGAGAGTTGTACTCTGCAATGATTCTCTGTTGCACGAACTGCTTTTCATGAACTCGTTTTTGTAACATAAAAACCTTCCATGTTTTTACCATAATTACATTTTACGACGAAACAAAAAGTCACAGAGGAGAAGAAAAATGGGACAGAATTTAAAAATCATAACTAGATAAAGAGGGGTAGTCTGGGAATGCATTCTTTTTTGTTTTTAGAAGAGACAAACGCTAAGAACCAAAGATAACCACCAGCAACTTGCCTCCCAGTGAACAAACTGTCTGTGGTCCCTCCTCTGAGCTCCTTCCACTTATTTTCTAATCATAAGACAGGAGAAGCAGACACCTAATTGTTTTCTACAAGTTCATCACTCTGGGATTCACTTCTGTGACAGAAACGTAGAGAAGACAGCCTAGAGACGGTGGCAGGAGTGCCAGTGGTGGAGCCCGGTGGACGTGCACATCTGTTCTGACCCGCTCAGAATGTCTGGTCATCAACATTGGAGGAGGGGATTTGGGGTCTGGCACACACAGAGAGAGCATCCGTTCTACCTAAGGACGATGATGTAGTTACGATAGGAAAGGCCACATGGATTTTCATGGAAGGACACTGCTCCACTGGAAACTTCTTTTCCTAGGAATACTGCTCTTTCTCTGCTGCTACAGTGGAAAACATCTCCATTCCAAACCATCTGCAAGGGCAGGGCTACGCAAGCATAGCACATGAGCTTGCAATGGCGCGTCTGCTGTAACGTCACCCCAGCCAAAGCTGGGACTACGAAAACTGCCCTCAAAGGCTACACTTAGGACTTTAACATTTTTACTTTTCTGAAACAAATCTGACATGGCAATCATTCACTTTCTTCTCTCTTTATCTGACATAAACATTTCTTTTAAAAATAGAAGCTTGGGCCGGGCACAGTGGCTCATGCCTGTAATCCCAGCACATCAGGAGGCTAAGGCAGCTGGGTCACTTGAGGCCAAGAATTCGAGACCAGCCTGGCTAACATGGTGAAACCCTGTCTCTACTAAAAATACAAAAATTAGTCAGGCATGGCGGCACATGTCTGTAATCTCAGCTACTCGGGAAGTTGAAGCAGGCGAATTGCTTGAACCCAGGAGGTGGAGGTTGTAGTGAACCAAGATCGCATCACTGCACTCCAGCCTGGGCGACAGAGCAAGCATCTGTCTCAAAAAAATAATAATTAAAAAATAAATAAACAAACAACTTTTTTAAAAAGCTTAACTTTTTTTAACCATGATAACAACACTCTTAACGAATTTGTTAACTCCCCAGAAAATAAAGAATAAATAAAGTATAATCCTTCTTACAACTCTATAAACTAGGTAAGTGAATTCTAGTTAACATATCGAGCAGGAAACATTTTTTAAAATATGGTTACTTCATCACAGGAACGTGGCAGCATACTCCCTGTGTTCACTACACAGTGGCTTAAAAGACGCATGGCAATGCTAGTGACTCTCTGGTTGTGTCCAATTCTCCAAGACAGCTAGTTTGCCTGGGCTCAGCAAGGGCTCTGTCCTAAGGAAGGTGTGCAGGAGCACTGCACGCAGATGAGGACATGGGGTCAGCACCTCCGAGGCACCGTGCGCCTCCACATCCGCTCTCCTCTTTCTGTAAGAAGACACGACTGGAAGTCAGGTGGGCGCCTTGTGAGTGGTGTCCTGAAGGAATGATCCACGCCCCTTCCTTCTTGGGGATGCAGCCAGTCAGAAGTGTGGGCCTGTAACAGGGACGGCCACCTCCTGCGCTGGGCTGGGGCACTTGCACAGCTATTGTTTTGGGTCTCTCTCACAGCAGCTAGACCTATATCCTACCTCACAAGATACCCCAACTCCAGGCCCAAGTGCCACCCCCACACAGTACCATGAAAACACAACCAACAGTGGGGCTGAGGCTGCGGGAGGTGCAACAGATGCATGCCCTTGGTGGAGCTGTGCCCTGGTGGGAGGAGCTGGACACTCAAAATGTGGCCTGCACAGTCTTTTGCCAGCAAGGTCCCTCCAGCATAGTGAAGGCCAGAGAAAGGAAGACATGGAATTTTCATCCTGTTAAGACGCAAGTGGTATTTAAACAAAAGCAAAGAGCCTAGGACCATCTATGAATTAAATTCCAGTGTAATAAACTTTGAATAACTACATTTTTACTCAAAAGGCTTTTAGAATTCATTTACAACAGATACACAGTTCCATGTACTCTGTCTTATTTAAAAGGGGTATTTGTCAGTTTTTCTGTTATGCTGGAATCCTAATCTACTAAGTGATGAGAACTCATGGACCACTGGTAGCCTTTCTCGTATGAAGCAGTTTGGATGCGAGGATATCTTCTGTAATGGAATACAGCCTGCTGTTTTAATCTGATACTGCACCAAGATACGAGCACTTGTACTACTGATGATAAGCGTCTCTCAGGCTGGACGCCCCGGAATTCGTAGCATACAGTTAAGGGGCTTTGTCTTTGAAACATTTTCTTCACGGTGATTTGCCAGAACGAGTTTGGCAGCCTTTGCAGTACAGAGCAGAGTTTAATTCTGTTTAGATTCCAGCTGAATACGGCTTTGTTTTACTTTGAAAGCAGGCCCACTTCAATAGTGGCATTTGATCTGAGCTAAGAAACGTCTTAAGCTCCCCGGTTTCATCAGCTCGTAACTGAGTTCCCACATCCCACATAAACAGAGTTATAAAAATAAGACCTTTCAGAACGGTAGAAAGAGACATCAGGATTTGTGCACGCACCACTTCCTGGACAGTCAGGGTCCGCCTTATCCTGACCCCCTGCCTGAATGCAGGTCTTCTGGTACACACATGCCCCGCTGTGTCTTGCTCTTTAATTACAGGTTTGGGTTCAGGACTACACCGCAAGACATGCTAAATAAATTATCTCCACCTGACACCTTTCATCATAGGTTTGCAAGTCTATGGCTGACTAAGACCTACAATTCTACTGTTGTTTGAACACAATTGCTGAATTCCTGCTAATTCAACCTAATATTAAGTCCTTATTACCGTTTCACTCATTCATCTGGAATAATAAAATATAGCATTTCATCTTAAGCTCTGGAGTTATATCCTCTTCCTTTTAAATTGAAGTGTTCTTCTTCCTAAGGGATATTTGTCAGATGGATAAAAGCTTTCACACTTCCTTCGATGTTTAACATGTGGATCTGATTGCAAAAGCAAACCATGAAACATCTTTGTAGTTATCCTTTTATTATGGTGAGAGACACAGATTTTCAAATCCCATTGCTATCCCGAGGCATGCCTATTTAAACTTTCCTCGAGTTCGATAATCTCAGCGTCCCATACGAAGGACAAAACCTGGAGCCAGCAAAGCAGCCTGTCGAGAAACCCACGGATACGGTCACTTGCTTTAGAACTCCAGAGAATGGAAGGCTCTTTGATCATTTGTACTTGCCTACAGCCCCTCTCTAATGCCACGATTTTCCAGGACCAGAAATGGAAAGGTAGCAATGGGCCACTTTATTTTCAGTTTCAAACACAGAACAGGGGCTAGTGCAGAGCAAGCACTCATTAACTGTGTGCTAGATATGGAATAACGGAACTAACCATTTCTCGTAATTATACTCTTCTTAAATTTTTTTAGAGACAAGGTCTCACTCTGTGACTCAGGCTGGAGCGCAGTGGCATGAGCATGTCTCACTGTAACCTGGAGCTCCTGGGCTCAAGCAGCCTCTCACCTCAGCCTCCTGAGCAGCTGGGACCACAGGTATGCACCACCATGCTTGGCTAATTTTTAACATTTTTTTGTAGAGATGAGGGTTGTTTCCCAGCCTAGTTTTGAACTCTTGGCCTCAAGTGATCTGCTTACCTTGGCCTCGTAAAGTGCTGGGATTACAGGTGTCAGCCACTGTGCTCAGCCAACTCTACTCTTAAATAGTATACCATTTCTTCATGTCCAGCTATACATGTAGAGATGCATTTAGCTAAAATTTATTTTAAAATGATTTTATCACTGGAACATTATACAGCTGACTCTTGAACAACACAAGTGGATCCACTTATACGTGGATTTCTTTCAATGAATACAGTCGAATACATATTGGCAGACTCTGCATCCACACCCAAACACCGGTGGGAAATACAGTGGGGATGTGAAACCTGCATCTATGGAGGGCCGAATGTTCCTATCCGCAGGTTCCACAGGGCCAATCACAGGACTTGAACATGCTCAGATTTTGGTATCCATGGTCAGGGGGTGGATCCTAGAACCAATTCCCACAGATACTGAGGGACGCTCTACAGTAGTCCTCCCAA